CCTACGCGTTTGCGTAGTTTTCACCAATCAGCAGCTGGCATGGTGAAGGACGCGGCAGCCCTACAGTAGAACAACATCTAGCCGCGGAGAGCTGGCGAGCATGAACGTAGCACGTATGCACAGGCGCAGGAGCAGGTATTATTGGGCGTTAGACTCACAGGCGTCGTTTGAATTCAGCAACAGTCGATCTGAGGGTAGGTTTGGCGCTGAGGCTGAAGCAGAGTTTTCAGAGGCTTTTGTCGTTACCTTCTGCCAGTTTTCTCACCGCCGATTTGCTCGCACGTGCTGAGAAACGGCTGCCAAAGAGGAGGAAAACGACGAGACAGAGTCAAAGGCGTGTGAGCGTGCGTACGGCAATGTCGAAAACTGGCCGTGCCGCATAGAGACGCGTCGCGTTAAGAAACAGGTTTTTTAGGACGGGTGCACAACGGACTAGTTTTTCGAGTTTGGCCAACGACAGTCAGGGGGAAGCCGAGGGCTGACCGCGACCGGGTTACAGGGTGCAATTGCGGTGGTCGTCGGCGCATGTGCGCCCATCATCGCTGGACAAAAAATGCGGCAAAAAACTACGCGACGCAATAAGACGCGACAGACAAGACAGGACACGATGACGGTACGACGCGACCCGACCGGAAGAATACTGTACGTGGCATGGCATGGTAGGAAACCTGCCCTGACGCCGATGACCGGACCGGCTCGGCTGATCAGCTGCTAAGCCTGTTCCGCCGAGGACAGGTTCTCCCAAACAAGTAGCCTTGTCCGCCACTACCCTTCTCGTCTAGTTGTTACGTTGGCAGGTGTGAGACGGCCGCTCTTCTCCGTCGCTTCCTTCTTTCGTTCCTTGTGCTCGACGCTGGCCGCTTGGTCAGAAACACTGCGTTCCCTGCTCTTTACCAGGATTTCAGCCATTGATGACTTTATCGATAGTTGAATGGACATCGACTATTATGCACTTGATGCTCGAACGTGGAATTTTCATTGCTGGACATGCGCCATGCTGGTGCACACGCCCAATTGGAAGGCTCAAATGACCTTTTCATTTCTTCGCTAGGCGCTGTGTGAGCGCCGTCGCAGCGACGGACGCTCAACGATTGCAGCGCCTCTGGTGGCTGTAGCCGCCTCGCTTATGCTTGGCTCTGTGTCGGCGTTATGTACACGACAAGTTCGCCGATCGTCCTGCATTGATTCAATTGGAAAAGTCGCCGAAAAAGTGAGTAATATTTAAGTAACGTTAGTTTGTATTGACCACTGTCCAGCAGTGACATCTCCTGTGATGAATTATATCTCGTCGCTGTCCCGCCGCTTCTTCTTCGGGCCATCGCTCTCCAAACTCATCTGACTTCTTTAATGCTGTACGTCTGTGATGACATATTTGCATGCGTTTTTACTGCGGCATAAACTGACCGAACGGTCATGTCTCGCTTCTTGTCTCGACTTGCCCATGAGCAAATTACCATTCCTCTTTAGCGTCGCTGGAATTGGTAGGCAAATCTGAAAAACGGTCGAACGGAGTGCGAACTCACTTGTAATTCATGCACATAGGGTGTTTTCGCACTGTCGGCCGTTTGCAGCTTCGAAAAAAGTCCGTCTGTCTGTGGCAGGTCAAGCCGCTGTTACCAGTTTTGGCGTTCGTCGCTTTTTGGCTTTTTGGTATCTGACCTTGGCGCTTTACTAACACAGGATACTTGCTATTTTGAGCGATACCGCGTTGACCACTGTTTTCTGGTAGTTAGCATTTAAGCGAAGCACGCGAGAACGATCTCTGGCAAACGAAAGTGAGGAAAGAAAGTACAGAGGCAGCGACGATGCTGGCGTGCGAGCTGTGGCGCACTGGACATCGTAACTGGCGGCCTCAGCTAGGAGGTCAGTCGCATTGACGGAGCTTGGTCTACGACTGCGCTGCGCACACACGTCCTTTGCTCTTTTGCAGGCTATGCTACGGAGTTCCATCGCATTATCTGTTGACGCCGAAGAAGAGGTGCACAGTGAGTGAGCCGTTGTCCCCAACGGAAGTGTCTCGAAACGTTACGGATATTCTAAATCGCTAAGGTTATGCATTAAGCTTTCAGCAGTAAGCACTGCGAAAACAAGTCAGCGGTTATGTGAACGAACGGTAGCCGCTGACCCGCATCCGTCGATGCTGGTCGGCGACTGTTCTGTGTTTTGTTGTTGTTTACCGCTGGCCGCTGGACGCGGACGTCGCATGACATGCGACGACAGTGTCA